AGCATTTGAGTAGTTGTCTCCGCCCTGTTTGTTTCACAGATTAGTCATTTGCATATGAATGTGTCACACACAAGGTCACACAGCCACTGAACAAAAATCATTGATTTTGGTGTTTTCATATGCCGAATTTATCCAATTATAGCTATCCCATTCCTTTATTTTTTTGGTTTCCAATAGCCTTACACATTTGGATGTCCCTACACATGTTAAAGCAGACCTTGATGGGAAAACAAATTGATTGTACCGATAAACAAGCTTGAAAATCTTTGCTGTTACTTCATGGACGTTTTCTAGGAGTTTATGTTTTTCAAAATACAAGGTCTTTAACAAAAAATAACGTATACTTATTGTCGTCGGATTAACACCAAATTTTCACAGCTTTAAGGTGACAGTGATAGGAACTTGAGTGTGTCCAGACAAACTATTTCATTGATTATTTACCAACGAGTTGTGGTTTGAGTTGGGGGAAATGCGACTAAAACAGTAATTGAAATTCAGCACACTATTTTTTAAAACGCGTTGCTTGCATAAAACTGACCAGACACATTCAATTTATCAGACTATTGAACAACTAGGAAAAGTGAAAAAAATACTTCTTATCGCCAGCATAAATGCGTAATTATTTTTTTTACAAAAAAAAAGTAATTTTTCACCTTTGATTAAGTAACGGGTCATAGAATGCAGATACGGGCATGACAAACACACCTTTGAAAAGCTTGACGTATGGGGATTCTAAAAATATATACTTTCCTTGGTATTTGTAGTCATTTGGTCACAATTAGAAGATGAAAACAAGTATGCAAATAACAGTCCCGCTACCTTAATTAATGGATTAATTATTAAAACAGACTTCAGATACCGGATATGGATACGACCCAGAACAGAGATCGACATATCGGCATACGTGTCACAAGCTATTTTAGGTAAGCCTTTGGAGCTTAAGTATTCATCTCTGACGTATTCGGTTGTTTTGTACCGGCAAGTGAGCATATTTTATACAGCTGTTGAAATCAATTGAGATATGTCCAATAACGAATACATGTAGATTGTTTACAACATACTGAGAGTTGCATATATTAGGACCGACGCATAAAGAAGAGAATCTGTATTACGATGACGATCGCCATAATGCCAAATTTGAAGCTGATCATCATGATTCTGTTTTCAGTCACTATTGGGTCTGCTTACGAAAACGAATACACAAACGAATATGCCGTGCACGTCAGAGGCGGACCAGAAGTAGCAGACAATCTGGCTGTAATGTATGGTTACAGAAATATTGGGCAAATTGGTTCCTTGAAAGACCATTACTTGTTCGAACACAGCGACGTTCCCCGGATTGCTAAGAGGCCTGCTACTGGACCACATACTCGTTTAAATGACGAAGAGAACGTACAATGGATGGAGCAACAAATGGTCATAAAAAGAGAGAAGAGAGATATGATGAACAACTTCACAGATCCCTTATGGTCTGATGAGTGGTACATTAACAGGGACGGAGTCACAATGAAAGTTCAGGAAGCATGGGATGCTGGTTACACCGGAAAGGATGTTGTTGTCACAATCGCAGATGATGGCCTCGAAATTGACCACCCCGATTTGATAGGTAATTATGACCAAGAGGCTAGCATAGACCTTAATGACCGGGACAGTAACCCTTACCCGAGGTCCACACCAGACGATTATAATAACCATGGAACAAGATGTGCTGGTGCAGTAGCCATGATGGCTAACAACAGTATATGTGGTGTGGGGATAGCATATAATGCCCGCATTGGTGGTATCCGTATTTTGGATGGCAAAGTTACGGATTCAGTTGAGGCGTCTGCACTAAGCTATCAACCCCAACACGTGGACATTTATAGTTCGAGCTGGGGACCGACCGATGACGGAGAAACACTTGAAGGACCTGGTCGTCTTGTAACCCAAGCTTTATATGATGGCGCAACTAATGGTCGCGGTGGAAAAGGGTCAATTTATGTGTTGGCAGCGGGTAATGGAGGGGTTGTGGACGACTGCAACTGTGATGGTTACCAAGCCAACATATATACTGTGAGCATTACCAGTGCCACTGAGAAAGGAACTAAGCCATTTTATACAGAGTCATGCGCTTCAGCACTGGCCACAACTTACAGTAGCGGGGACGCAGGAGAAAGACAAATCTGTTCCACAGATGAACATCAAAAATGCACAAAACATCACACTGGAACTTC